CCTCGACCACAAAATCAAAAAGGGGTCATCTACTTGTCATGACCAATCACCATACCAAGTTTGAAGTTCCAAGGCCTAAGGGTTCTTTAGTTATCACTCGGAAACCATTTGGTCTACGGACCGACAGACCGACAAGTGCAAAGCAATATACCCCCTCTTCTTCGAAGTGGGGGCATAATTACGTATAAGACACACATTGACGCAATTTTGTCTCCCGCCTTTTCGAAAAAAAGGAGGATTTAGAAATAGGCTCTGTCCGTCCGTCCGTCCGTCCGGACGTACGCCAGTCCGTCCGTCACAATTTCATGTCCGTTCATAACTATATCATTTATCAAAGCAATTTAGAATAATTTGGCACACATGTTTGTTGTGTCAGGCGCAACAACTGGATCCATACCCCAAAGATCAACGCCACACTTGGTGATTTAAGGATTTGATGGTATATGACGTGTCAGGTCAATAACTTTCATATACATGAGGGGATTTTGAAAAATACTTGGCACAAATGTTCAAAATAATGAGCCGATGTGTCATGTTTAAAAACCAGACACCTATCTTCAAGGTCAAGGTCATAGTTGAAAGACAAAGATAAAAAAAGTCTTTTAAAGAGTAAATTGTGTGTCCGGACCATAGATCACCATAGATAAAGGGATTTTGAAAATTATTTGGCACAAATGTTAAAAACAATAAGACAATGTGTCACGTGCAAAAACCAGTCACATAACTTAAAGTTCAAGGTCACAGTTCGAGGTCAAAGATAAAATGTTATAGGGTGTATTTTGTTTCCAGTGTTTAACTTTCACATCCATCAAGAGGTTTTGAAGATACTTGGCATAAATGTTACAATAATAAGACGATGTGTATTGTACAACACCCGAACTCCTATCTCTAAGGCCAAGGCCACACCTAGAGGCAAAAGCTTAACATGGTCTTTTATAAGGGTATATTTTGTGTGCAGTTCATAATTTTTTTATTGCTTAAGATATTTTCAAATTACTTAGCAAAATTGTTGTCTATAATAGGACCACATGTCATATGGAACAGCCAGAAATCCTACCTTTAATGTCAAGGTCACACTTGAGTGGCGAAGCTTAACATGGTCCATTTGTGGGTGTATTTTGTGTACGGTATATAACCTTTTCATCAATCAAGAGATTTTAAAATAACTTGGTACAAATGGCACAAATGTTAACAATAATAAACCAACATGTCATGCGCTGCACCTATACATCAAAGGTCAAGGTCAGACTTGGGGGTTAAAGCCTTAAATAGTCTGTTACAGGGTATGATGCCAAGTCAGGTCCATGCAAATTAAATGTTTTTGTTGAAATTCCCACATACCTTTGTATATGTCACATTTGTGGCTTTTAGATAACAAGTATACATATGTATTTCTATTGACACATACACAGGAGCTATTTCATTATATTTTTTATCGAATTTATTGTTACTTTCATGTGCAGAACTAGCATTGATCAACATTTTGCAGTTAAAGTCAAGATCCGTACCTATATGTTTTGAAAAAGCACAATTTTGTGCCCCATGAAAAATTTCCCTAAGGCGAGGGACGTTGGTTACTATGTAACAATTCTTGTTCTTTTAAAATCTCTAAACGAGTATACATATTTTGGTCCAGATTAGCTAAAAGTAATTTTTTATCATTGTTGAAATTTAAACTTAATCGAACATTTATGTTTTTAAACAATAGTAGTCATAGCATGTTCAACTTTAATAAATTTTCAAGAGTTGGTAAACCTATCTGACACTTTTGTAACACTTAGAATCATGCCATTATATACATCTAGTTCGCAAACGTTAATCATTGTAACATAGATTCTTCATAAGTATGGTGTAAATCTTTCTTACATAGAATGTTATCATGACAAAAAAATGAAGTATTTTTTGAAGTTTCATAGAATGCACAATATATTATATCAAGTAGTCATCAAAATACATTTAATGGTTGCTGCTATACGTTGTCCTTAAATTTATGATATTTGCTACTTGTAAATTACTACAGTTATATCATTCTTCTGAAGCTTATCCAAACAAAACATGTCGAAGTGATAATTTTTTGCACTAAATATATGGTAACATACTCTTTAAGATATATATTTGTTCATGGGAGACATGAATTTATATACACAATATCTTAATTGTTGCGCGCACGTTGAATAATTGACATACTTTTGATTGAAGGCCAAGGAACTCGGTACATACGTGCAGAAGAGTGTTTGAAACAAATAAATCAATTACAAATACGTGTTTATTTTCAATGATTTTCAATAATTATTTAATTTTTTATGCCATTCGTGAAAGTAAAAATTGCAAATAATCTGACTATCTAAATCATAAGGGACATGCTCAAATTTATTTTACTATACTATAGTCTTTTTAAATATTGACCAAACTAATCATATAAGATTTGACCGGGAATACTTTATGTCATTTGCGGCGGTGTCAAAATATGTGAGTTTTTATTCAGCCATTAGTGCCCCAGAATATAGTATTTCATAAATGCATGAAGCAGGGTTAAGTGTTATTGCTTTTGAAAATACATGTCTGTACAGTTAATTTTGAGTTATATACTCGTAATGTATGCGATTAATAAAATAACTAATTATCACAAAGAATAAGTTGATATTGCTGACCATTTATTTTCTTCTAAATACTGCTGAAGTTGCTAACGTCAGAAATTTGACCCACTTAATGTGAACTGCTAGTAGATATTGCGTTTTTGTTAGTGTCAATGCTTTTAATGTGTTCAGCTAACAGCGGTCAATATTAAACGATATATCATTTATGAAAAAGTATACAATGGACACTTGATATGTGGTTCAATTACATCGATATTTTTGTTGCTTGCTTACTTGCCAGATTACTTTTGAAGAAAGCCACATAAGATAGTGTTTTTCGTATGATTGATCATTATTGATATCTTCATTTTGTATCATTTCTCTAACATTTGCAGTAGAAAATTCTACGAATTTTAATTGATTTACTTGACATCATTTCTTTTATGTTTAGGCAAGAGGGGGGACTTTTATTTGTTTCAAGTGTTACAACAGAGGAAAAGGTTAAATGCCAATTTTGTTTAATTTATAATAAACGCATTTCTGATCATCTCATTACAAATCTGTAGAGATTTATCGCAAATGTAAAACTCATAACTTGCAATTAGGCAGTGATCTATTACACAAGGCTCGTTTTTTAAAACACAATGAATGTGCAAGTTCATAACAAATGCAAACACATGTATTGTCCGGTTTAAATATTCATTCTTGTCAATGTTATTTTGATATGCAAAACATATTACATGGAAAAGGAATGATTAAAATGTGTAATTGAAAACATTAACGATAGAAGTCCAGGCATTTGTACCTTTCTTGTTAATCGAGTTTTTACGAACTTTAACATGATAAGGACGGTATTTACTGTATAAAGTTAATGCCGTTTATACCCCACCGAGTTTTGTTTATTACTAACACATAAGGCTTTAATAATATATTTATCACGGAATACTTAACAGAAATATTCTTTGTACATGATACAAAATCAGGACAATAACAGTGGCCATAACTCCGTGTTAAATAGTATTATCTGGACATGCCAATAAGATGCAAATTTCCAAAAAGTTTGGTGCAAAGAAATACCAATATTGCTGTATATGCATACTTATACATAACTAATCAAGGGTCATAACTCTCTGTTTGAACAAGGCAATGATATGCGCATTTCCTCTAGGTATTAATGGTTCCCATAAAGTTTAATTGAATTTCAGCCCGTTGTTGCAGAGAAATATCGCGGAAGCGACTATTGCTCTATATGCATACTGCATAAATAATCAAGGGCCATAACTCTGTGTTGAAATGTCTGGCAGGGACAAGATGACTCAAGATATGCTCAACTCATCTTGGTATTGATGGTTCCCATAAAGTTTCTTTGAATTTGTGCTAGTAGTTGCAGAGAATATGCACGGAAACGGCTATTGCTTTATATGCATACTGCATAACTATTTAAGTGTCATAACACTGTGTTGAAGGGTCGGACCGGAACAAGACAGCAATATACGCATCTCCTCTTGGTATTGATGGTTCTCATCAAGTTTGAAATCCCGCCATTAGTTTCAGAGAACTAGCGAAGAAACGAAATTCAGACACAGAAGGATGGACGGACGGTAGGATGGACAACTCCAAAATAATACCCCACTCCCAATTTCACCGGCGGAGGATTAAAATAGTTAAACATACCTTAATATCAAGGAAATGCGTGTCATGGTTCCCAATTAAAGTAATGTCAGCGACTTATCGAGATAACAGGAACAACATGTTTATTTAAATCAAAGCACCGTATAATATAATTAAGAAAGCGGCAACTTATCCTAAGGGTAGTTGAAATATTCATATAGCATATGAGGATTACTTGAACCGCCCATTCAGAAAATATTAAAATTAAAGAACCAAAAACTACCACAACATGAACATAACTTTCATGACAAATTATCATCATAAATAAATCTGAATTATAACCCGATACTTTGAATGGATAATTTAGTAGACCTAAATAGAAATGTGGCATTTCTTCACAAGTTACTATGATAAATTTGCATCATATTGATTACTTTATTTATCTTTAATTCTAAACATACGTTACTAATCAATGATATAAACAGGGCGACGTTGCTTAATTACGAAATATGAAACATGGCACTTATTTAAGATTAAAAACAGTTTAAGAATGTGCTGGGGTAATTGAAGATGTTACAAAATTCCATGTCTTATTAGATCACAGTGAGAAATTGATTTCCAATTATTGACTCTTCATCGTTCCAGAATTGTTTTAGATGCGCTTAAACTGTTTTTTTGTTTTTTTTGCATCTTATCTTATTGGCATCATATATTTTTATTAGATCATTTATTAGATGTCTTAACCTCTTTAAAAGGATATTTACTAGACCAGTTAATGAGGGTGTTTTTTCACTATAAAAGAATAACACAATGAAATGTAAATTCTGTTTATTAAGTGAATGGATAAACACACATGTTAAAATATAACCACAAAGAAAATTGGTACTTCTTAAAGATATTCAGTCTAAATTTTATTTACGACTAAACTATTAAGTTGCCAATATAAAAGTATATATCTGTTTATAGAGAAAGAACGCTCGTCGGGATTTTAATTATTTTTGTTACTGTATCATTCAATAAAACCATGAAATCAGATTAAAATATGTTATAATACATTGTGATCAAAAAATCTTTGTATTACGGGCATAATATCGACAGATATCAATTAAAGCTATGTTTTTGAAGTTAGGGATTTAAGATAATATTTGGTTTACATGATATAAGTATTTTGATGTATAAAATAATTACAAATTGATCATAAATAAATGCAAGTTTCCGTACAAACTGTTACTGTAACATGCACATATGGGAGACACTTTTGTTTCCTGTAAACAGAAAATAAACAATAATTCATTGATCACCTTTTTTCCACACACAATGTAAAATTACGCATTTTATTGAAAAAAGTGTTACACTTATCTACTTTTTCGGAAATACAGATGTTTATGAACATGGTATCAAGGAACAATATAATAGTAATATTTCATTCATATCAAAAACTGAAGGGGTAAGGGGTATTTCAGTGTGTGTGAATCAATAAAAAAGAACGAAAAGAAAACTACAGTAACTATGAATAGTTTTTTTATCAATCTTTTTAAACTACTTACAAATAAGAGTTTATCTAAGCATCGATGTAAATGTCGTGACACAAGCAAGCAAAAGTGGAAATACTCCAATTCTGAATGTATTACCTGAAATTATATTATATGATAAGCGTATTTTATTCAAATTATTTTTTAATGTTTTACAATTATAAATGATCCGACATTTTTTAATATTATAAGCTAATAGTATATATAGTGATAATAAAATGTAAAAAAATAGCGACACTCCTAATGCGTTATTTCGCTTTTGTGACGAAACGATAAAAAGTTGGCAACGTTAACACCATACAATACAAATCACTTGATTTAAGCTTTTTATCATGTTAAACAGAATATGATAAAAATACAAAGCCCACAAAAATGCAATGTCTATGTATATTGAAATGAAAGTAGTTTTGACACAATACTGTGTTAATTGGTCGTTCATTTATAGCACATTAAGCGTTGGGAATTATTAAATGTGTTTTATAATGTTGCAATAATGCATTTAGAACCTTACGGAAATATCGCAGTAGTGTTATTTTGTTCGAAAAATGTATCAAAATGTAAACAAAGCAAATAGGTTATTTGACTTCCAAGAGTTATGTTTCAGTCTATTTTGAAGTCAAAGAATTCAGTGGATCGGTTCCATCCATTACTTTTCGATTTATACAAAGAAAGGCAATAAAACAACAACAAAAAAAAAACAACAAAGTTATGGTTTTTGGATACTGAACTTCTCTTCAATAAAATGTCATCATTTATGGAATTTTACATTGAATATTTTAGCTTTACGATATGTTAAAATATAAAGGTCAAAAATGACAGACGTACTTTATTGCTTTCTTTAATCTCCATGTCGTATCTTACAACAGTAAACAATTTTCAAAAATACTTCCATCTATTTCAGCAAAAATGTGAGAAGCTTTTAATGTAATGTGTTTTCCCGGACAGACGGACGGAGGAAAGGACGAGCAGCGTCAGATCTATATCTCTATGTCTGTTTGGGAGAATAAACAGATTCTGTATTAAAGAGATGGAGAGAGAGTACACATTTTACAAACAATATATATATAAACTAAAAAACACTTACTGGAGTTAAATATGCAAAGGCTTGCCTCAAGATAGAAACCACTGTTGCATTTGCATTTTCTTTGTGTTTGGTCACACGAAGCATGCTCGATATTTTTACACTGATTACCATCTACAGAGCAAGCTGTATCAGTAAGATCTGAAGCTTTAAAAAAAGATTGCTTTAATTAAAAATACTTTAAGAATGGAAAAACAAGATAATAAATACATAGGGCGCATAATGAATAATGTGCGCATAGACAAGGGACAGGACGTGAAATAGTTGCACACTTTTTTGCCAGAAAAAATTTGTTCCAAACTTGACAAAAAACTACCAAGTAATCATCAATCATCTTTATTTGTCACAGATATTTCATTGACATTAATTTACATTTGTGTTATTTCATATGTTTTTAAAAAGGTTTTTATATGGTTCTTACATTTTTAGAAATTTCTTTATCAAAGTTGTCAATTGTCAACTACTTCATGCCCCGACTTTTGTGCCCTCAGATGCGATAAATGAGCATTTCACTTGTGAAATCTCAAAAAATGTACACAACCATTTAATATCTTCAATAATGTCGTCAAATCAGAAGCTAGAAAACCGAGTGTGCTCAGGAATTTGCATATTAAAGAATTTCAAAAAATCATACAAACCAACCTACCTAAAGAAAAAATTTACAAGTATTTTTAATATTTCTGACCCGGTAGCCATTTTGTCAAGTTTGCAACCACTTTCTTGCTTGAAACAAGTATGCATCCAATTCACATCCTGCCCCTTGTTAAGATAATGTTTTCGGTCCGAAAATGGTACTGTCAAGGCCAAGCCTTACATATGACAAATTCAACATATTCCGGACTATTATGTCAAAATCATTTATAAATAGACACTTTATAAAAGATAATTATTAATGCTGAAAGTAATTTTGTATAAATAACCCATAGATTTGTGAGTAACAGTAAAACTATCATCCCGAGGAAAATATAGTTACCCGGTACGTTATTAACTTTTATCTATTTTATCACCTCGAACAAATACTGTAATGATATGAAAATTTCAACTAAATCTTACTGTTACAAAATTGAATAAAAACTCAATTGTCCTTACCATGCAAGTTGTAAGTAATAAGAAGTTATTCTTATTTTATTCCTTAAGCAAACGATTATACCTACCAGTCATAAACATACTGTAGACAGTGTTTTATTTAGAAAGAAAGAAAAAAACACAAACCCATTTATACGGTTATGATCTGTGAAATCTGATCCTATCTAGAATGTTCTTTACATGATTTTTAACAATTTGTATTTACGAAATTGCAATGATACCCTTCATCTGTCTACCACACTTGTCATGTTTCACTGATTGTTCCGTTTTGGCACATAATTATTCCAATGCAATAACTTTCCTTCAGATGAAAACGGATATGTATTTTTTGACCGTGTAACTAAAAGATATTTTATACGCTTAAAGCACTCTGGGTGCATACAACTAAGTATATGGGTGTCATAGTCACTCTGGTGATGCCCCTTCGTGGTGAACTTCATCGAGAAAAAAGGCAACCATTTATTTATATTTTTTAGCAAATTAACCATGTGACCAGATTTTATTCTTTTGAAAAGTACTGTTACCTAATTTCTTTGTCACTGGGTACACATGCAATTAACATTACAAAGAGTGAGAGGTAATAAATAAAGATATAATTCTATGCATACAAATACCTGCTCTTGAAATGTGTAACAAACATACTAATACGATGACTGTTGTGAGGATGAAGTGCTTCTGAAAAACAGAAAACAGTGAAATGTTTACATATCGCAGTATTAAATTTCTCAATTTATCATTTACCCATGCTGCTTTTTGCAACTCCTTAAAAGGATATCCAAGAATATTTGATAAGAATATTTATCTATTTATAAACCATCATTATCTTATAAAGCCCTTTTAAGATTAAATCTCAAAAGTTTGTTTTCTGAGCTAAAGTGTTTCATATAACTTGAAGTTGACCTCTTAACAGTCACATAATACATGAAAACCCATAATGGTGAACAAAGCGTGAACTATAGTGGTTGTTGCGATTATTATTTCTATGTGTATTGATTACATGTAAAAACAATAGGAATGAATCATTTAGATAAATATTCTTATAAAATATTCTTGGAACAAATTGTTGATAAAGTTGTTAGTGGTTTCGTGTGGCCATGTATGTCATGAATAAAAATATTTAATTCTAGAACTATCAATTATCTGCTATTTAAAAATTGTCGTGTTTTTAGCATGTATCACTTTCTTATCAGCAACATCTTTAAACATGTATAATAATTTCATGGTTTGCTATTACATATGAAACTTTATACTATCAACATAATTGTGTGAGTATTACTTTTTACCATTTCAGACTAATTCATTTATTAAGTATAACCGCCTTACTCGAAGTTACATAAAAGGGGTTATCTTTCGAAAGCAAGGAAAATAACAATGGTATAGGAAAAAGCACACTGGTTTAATGTGTGATAATGTAAAAGTGCAGCATCTTACACGCTCCCTAGCAAGCATAAAACACATTTCAGAAACTCCCTATATCCTGTAGAAACAACTTAATGAATATTGAAATCGTAACAAAATGTCAGTGATACTTTGTTATTATAACAAATGAAAAATAGTATCGACCGTCGAGCTTTGAAGGGACTCCATTGAGGTTTAAGAGCCAAATAACATAAAACTTGAATTTCTTACATTAATGCGCTGGGGCACTTTAAACAGAAATATATAGAAAGATAGTTAAAAAATATTCTTTGAAATGAATTGAAAATCATATTTTTATGCTTTTCTTAGCCCGATTTGAGTGAAAAGCGTTTAAACGCTTTTTATTTTGAGTCATTTTTTTACAATTTTAATAATTATTCTAGATAAACGGAATGCGCGAATGATCTTATATTTTGCAAAAAGATTAGTGGTCTACACCTACATTATATGGTACATATATCTTGAACAAATAATTTTCAGTCTCATCATGTTAAAAAACCTCAGTGAAGTCCCTTCAAGAAATATTATTGAAAATAATGAGACTTACCATTGCTGCGAGTTTGTGTCTATTAAGCTACCTTGAGATGGAGAGCCCTATTTATATCTCTCGTTATCTTAATTTTCATACGAAACGCTAATATGTGATAAGTCCTTATTTTTTAAATGAAAAAGTTGATTGTACCTAATTTTAGCAACGCGTTTGCAGGTTGCTATGCACAAAACGTTGCGTGCAAAGTCATGACACAATCAATAATTAGATAAGTTATGATAAAATTTATTTGTAACCAGATTTAACTTCCAGTTCCCAAAATGTTTGGTAGCCTTGATTTACAAACATTGAATAGTAGTTTATGGACACCAGGCTGATTTCAATATAGAAGTTATAAGAACAAACTTTTGTAAACGATTGATATCTGTGAAATACATGTCAATCGTGTTAAAGTTGAGTTATTGTGTGAGCTTGATACAGACAACATATTAAAAAAAGAAGATATTATCATACGTGCTAACACGAGCGTTGAACTGATCTGTGATTCGGGCGATCAGGGTCTGGTTTTCTGTACATCTCCTGTTGCCTATAAGGGATTACTAGCAATTCCTTGCGAAAGTGAATGCATCTAGTAATGGTAATACTTCTTGTCAGTTTGCCCAAGAACGACAAAGTGGCTTAACTAATTTAACGTAGACCGCTGTCGTTTATTAGGAAATTTTATATCACTTGTTAAAAATCATTTGTTTTTTGTTTTATTTAACAAAATACATATATATGCTCTAGGGTATAACGTATATTTGCAATTTAAATGGAGCTTCGTTATTGTTACTGTTTTATTATTAAATTTGATAAAATATGTTATAGTCTGTATTGTGCTATTCAAAAATAATATTTTCGTATAAAAAGTGTGTACTCAGTGCCAATTGTCCCTTGTCTTCTTGAAAGAGGGTCTGTCTTTTCGTCACATTTTCGTGTCTTGTCCGTAAGTATGTCATTTATCAGAGGAATTTAAAATAATTTGGCACAAATGTTTGTTATAATAAGACAATGTGTCATGCACAACAATGCCGTGTTTGCTCCATAAATGAAGTTGGCACAACTGTTTACAATAATGAGACGATTTGTGTCATGTCGCCTGCCTCAAAGGTAAAGGTCAAAGTTGGAGGGAAAATATAAATACAGTCTGTTTCAGGGTATATTTTGTGTCCGGTCGGTCAAGAACTTATTCATAGATCAAGGGATTTTAAAATTATTTGGCACAAATGTTGACAATAATAAGTCGATATGTCATGCTTATTAACCAGTTGCCCACCTTCAAAGTCAAGGTCACAGTTGGAGGTCTGAAATAAACATAGTCTGTTATAGGGTATATTTTGTTTCCAGTTCATAACTTTCTCATCCATCAAGGCATTTTGAAAATACTTGGCACAAATGTTCACAGTAAGAAGCTGATGTGTCATGCACAACAACCAGATGCACACATTTGGTAATAAAATGCCAACATAGTCTGTTTGAGGGTATTTGTGGTGTCCGATCTATAACTTTTTAAGCTATCAAGGGATTTCAAAATAACTTGACACAAATGTTCACAATAATGGGACCATGTGTCATATGTATCAGCCAGACTCCTGTCGTCAATTTCAAGCATATTTAAGTACCAAAGCTTAACACGGTCTATTCAATGGTATATTTTGTGTGCAGTAAATAACGTTTTCATCAATAAAGGGCTTTTTTAATGTTTTGGAGCAATGTCAATAGTAAGAGAACAACATGATATGCGCAACACATAGACACCTAACTCAAAGGTCAATGTCACAATTGAAGGTCAAAGGCTAAAATATTATGTTACAGGGTATGATGCCGAGACAGGCCCATGCAAATAAAATTTCGTTGGTAAATAGCCCACATACCTTGATTGATGACTGAACACAATATATACCCTGTTACAGAATATTCTATACTGATTTTGTTACATTTTGTGTTTTTGAAATAGTTATTACAAGTATACATGTATTTCTGATGACACATACACAGGAGTTATTTCATTATATAATTCTTTTATTAATTTATTGTTACTTGCATGTGCAGTTGTAGCATTGATCAAAATTTTGCACTGAAATTTCAGATTCATCTTTCAGTCTTTTGAAATAGCACAATTTTGTACTTCATATAAAAACTTCCCTCAGGCGGGGACTCTGTTACAAATTATTGTTAGTATGCCTTTTCTTATCGTTTGTAGTTATTTAATTAAAAAATAAAATACAGCTCATTTATACCTTACTCATCAATCAATTAAAAGTTAAATTAATATAGGATAATAGTGGGGCGGGCAATTTAGAAAATAAAGTAAATGATGATACAACATGAGGGCAGGAAATAAATTCACCAATATGGCCTGATAATGTATCTAGTGGCGGAAAAATGTGCCCTTGGTTGGTACAACATTATTCTATTCTGACAAGGACGACCATCACATTTTTAAATGATAATATAACCTTGATATTTATTGTTCACAATTTATAATTCTGGTTTGTAACTGTGCAATACTTGTAGTCACTGTATTATTTTAAATATTTTAATATTTCGAACTAGTTTATCTTATTCTGATGTAGTATATCAAAGGTGCGGTATATAATTCAGTGAGTGCAACATGCAAAAAAAAACACTATAAATTGCCCAAACTACAAAACTAAAAATGCTGTAGGCTTAACTTGATTCAGGATATTCATGGGCGGTACTGGGAAAGTTTCATCTATTACCGCCTTCCGCAGAAAAAAGGCTTTGGTATTCTTAATGCTCCTCGCCCAGAGGCGCGGAGCTATTTGTGTTTACTACATTTTTTTGTCCATCAACCCGATTTTTATCAATTAATCCCTTTGATTTACAGCTAAAAATAAATTCGAAATCAAGATGCCTTCCGATTTCTTTTATGAAAAGTCATATATTGATTTCCTTTTGCTCATGTCTTAATAATAAATGAGAATGGGAACACATTTCTTCCCTCCACCACAGGGAAGGCAGTATAAAAGACAAAACAAAACAAACAAAAAAAAACAACTCTTATTCTGTAATTTTTTTCTTCATTTGTTTCTTCTACAGGAAATTATTAATTATTTTGTAGTACAAAGTCGGTTGTTATGTATTTTAACTCCAAAGCTAAATAGAATGATAAACTTAACATTGTGAAAGTCCGAAAATCTATTTCTAGAAGTAGTTTTAGCTTAACGAAACGGTCATTCGTGTCGCGCTGTGTTAATAAATAACGAACTAGGAACTGAAATGCAAACATATGCAAACAATTAATTGCACAATTTATAAATTTATAGGCAAAATTAAAGTATGCCATTTTTAAAAATTGTTATATCATTTTTGAAATTTCCTTTTCCGTAGGTTCTTTCCGGTTTTTATTTTTTACGGCCCTGATTGCACTTATGACAGTTTTTATATATAAATATTCAAATTCTTCAAGCTCTGGCTTCCATAACTTTACGTCGCTATTATGTTGACGTTGTGCGACTGTAAACAAGTCTGGCAGTGGTTTTCTATAAAACCTATTCGCTGTTTAAGTCTCTTTAGCTTAAATCGACACTGTTTGAGTGGAATGTAGATTTGCCGAATATTGTGATATTTAAACAACATTTTAACAACTGAACTTTCGTTTGCAGTTATAACATTAGTTGTTATTGGTTTATTGATTGGAATGTAAAAGCACTTGTGGGTCAGACGAGGATTTTGAAACCATTCAACAAAACAGTTGATTGACC